GGAGATGAGTGTAGACCGCAGAGTCCTGGCCTGATGATGTTGATCTTCTGTGCTGGTCCATCCTTTTGGCCAGTGGCTGTTTAGTTTCCCCGATGTAAGACTGATCACCCTCCTGACACTGAACAACATACACAACATTGCTCTGTTTGTGCCGGGGGACTGGATCTTTGGGATGAACCAGTTTTTGCCGTAATGTATTTTGGGGTTTAAAATCCACTGGGACGTTATGTTTAGAAAATAAACGTCTCAGTTTCTCTGATACCCCCTCATCATATGGAATGACCACTGGTCTGGGTCTGGGTTCCTCCTTGATTTTTTTTTTTTTTTTGAATGTCCAGAGGACCAGATTTAACTTTTTTAGATTTTTCTACCTGGATTATTGAGCATGCATCAGGATATCAATGCAATAGATTAAATGTGGAACAATGATTGTGTTATACAACATGTACAGAGCTTTATCATTTAATAATTCCCTGACTTTGTATAGTACTGCAATAGATTTAGATATTTTTGTTCTTACAGAATTGATGTGATTTTTCCATGTTAGCTGTTCATCAATGATTACACCCAAAAATTTCATCTCATTAACTCTACAAATCTCAACACCCTCAATTTTAAATGGATCAACAGTTCTCTTTTTGTTACTAAATATCATGTATTTAGTTTTATCTAAATTTAATGATAATTTATTAAGTTTAAACCAAGTTTGTATTTTATCAAATTCTGTCTTCATCAATTCCAACATCCGTTTTACATCTTTACCCAAACAGAAAATGTGGTGTCATCTGCAAAACAATTAAGTACAGATGTGTACTTTGGAGTTGTGGTTGATTTGAATGTTGAACTCAACATTAATTGGGTGACAGGTCTTCTCCAAATACTTTGAGAGATGAGATTATTGATGGACTGACTAATTATGGGGTGGGTTAAATATTAACGTTTACAGTTTATTTACAGTATTAAGAGGCGTTTCGATGATTTTTCCTTAAAATTAACATGGTTGACAAGATACTTTTGCATGGTACTTAGTTAAATATTATCTTTTAATGATTACTTGATGATTTGTTTATTTAATGACTATTTGATGTGTGAAGACATTCTTATTCATGTGTTTTTTAAGGTGCGTTTGTAATTAGTTTCAAGAGCAGATCGTGATGAACTAATGCCACTAGATGGTGCAATTGTGATGATATATTTAAATATTAACACTGTTTTCTATGAAATAAATTTTTTACAGCTGGGCCATGACGAGAGACCAGAGGATTTTGATAAATACATAAAATGGGGTTTTATAATATAGATTTTCCAGGGGGTGAACTCATGACATTTTTCAATATAAATTGATATTAAATTGAAGGGTGGTGGAATGGGTGAATAGATTTGTTGGTTAATTGGGAATGTTTTTATATTAGATTACCAGGGGGAGTTGGGAGGTTCTATCATTTACATACAATATGCACGTTAAAACATGTTAATTGTTTAAATCAGATTTTATTCACACAAACACATTTTCTGCTGTGACAGGCTAAAAATACCGACAGCGCTCTGTGCAAATAAACTGGGTATTGACTGAAGGGGAAGGGGGCACAGAGTTTTCTTCTTCTTTTTCAGATGGACAAAATGGACCAGGCCTGTCCTTGGAGTCAAAAAAGAGAAGTTCAGGTTCTACAGAACTGATGAACATCTATTAGATAAGAACGCTTCTTGCATTAGGACGCCTCCTGCAATCATCAAATCATGTTTAGAGAACTGACTTAGACAAATGTTAGACATCCTGATGCATGCTCAATAATCCAGGTAGAAAAATCCAAAAAAGTTCAATCTGGTCCTCTGGACATTCAAAAAAACAAAAAAAAAAAAAAACAAAGCAAAAAAATGTAGAAATGTTTCGTCTCTCATCCAAGAGACTTCCTCAGTCTGAGGTGCTGTATTCAGCTCAGTCTCTTAAATAGCACCTTCACAGAGTGGATCAAGATACATTACATTTTTTTGTTTTTTTTGAATGTCCAGAGGACCAGATTGAACTTTTTTGGACAAATGTTAGACATTTCCATTATGTCATTGCACCACACCAGGGGGATGCTGAAGTCCTAGGCAGATGTCCAGGGCTGGGTCAGGCGACCTGAGGCTGGCAGGTCTCACGCTATAGCCTGTAGGCATCTCCCGCCAACATATAAGGAATAATGTACATTCAACCAGAGGAGAAATTATTAATTGCTTGCTTATTTGGCGGTACTGAACTCAGAGTTTATTCGAGGGAACCCCTTTTGGGGACCCTCGCCCAGGAGGAGTTGTTACGATATTTTTGGACTGGTCCTATGGTTTTGATCTGCTCAGAGACAGGATTATAATGAAATTATGACCCGGTTCTGACTGGGTTAAACTGGGCCAGCAACTCTAAAAAGAGTCTCCCTGGGATTTCAATATCAGTCAAGTAATAGAGTTTAATCTGCTTGCCACATCACATAGAAAGGCTTTTGGAGCACCGTCTCATTTTTCCCAACACATCAGAACCACATAAGATCCATTGAGATCACACTTAGTCACGCCCCCCATACACTGATAGGTTGAGCTCCCCTTCTGCGAAGGAGGAGTCCAGGACCCTATAAATGAATAATGACACGGGACATCGGGGCTCTTCCGGTTCTGTGAACGCGTCACAGACCGGAGAGTCCAGCGCTGTAAATTGTAACCTTTTCCTGCCTTTTTTAAATATATTTGATAAAACTTAACTGACGTTTCCTTGATTTATTGATAATGAGAGTTGCCACTTCTGAGGGAGATTCGAGCCGGGGGTAAAGACGTGGGCTGAGGTGGTTTCCGGGTCCGGTGGCCCACAGCCAGCTCACGTCTTTAACAGACTGTACCACCTGACCAGTACGAATAAAATCCTCTTCACTGCTGAAACTGGACCTGTGCTTACTTGTAATATTACTGTCTGGTACAGGAGGTGGAGCTTTCAGAACAGAAAAGCTGTGAACGGACTGAATGGAAGAGCAGAACCCATCATCAGGACAACACTACCTAGCCTCGAAGACATCTTAGTTCGACAATATAAACCCAAAGAACAAAAGATAACGAAGGACATTAATCATCCCAGCTAGCTTCCAGCTAAGACAGAGAGGCTGAGGCAGCTTGTTTGGTCTCAAGACAAAGATAAATGATTGTACAGTCCAACTTTGTAATCCAGATGTATTTATACAGATGCTTACATTTGCTGTTAATTTCTTTTATGTTTTGTTTTTATTTGTTTCCTTAGCTGTTTTTGATTTTCTAGTACTGTTGACATTTTTACATTTTACTCTGTTTGTACAACAGTGCATGTGAAGAATAAAGAAAATATGATTTTGAAAAGTAAAAGTGGCTGATAATTTCTTACTTTGCACTTCAAGCAGAGGCTGCCTTTAAAAAGGGGGTGGGAGATCTCAATGTCTTCAGTTCCACAACACAAACAAAAAGCTGCAGAAAAACAAAAACAAAGAAACAAACAAATTCTACTGGGTGGAAGGAAGAATGGGGAAACTATATTCATGAACATGTATAATGTAGCAAGTAACAGGTAAAACACACAAGAGGAACTTAACACCACATAAACATTTTGTGTTTTGTGCAAATTTAAGGAGATAAAAGTGTCACTTTAGTGTAGACACTCACCTTCAATGTCCAGCTTTAGTTCCATGATCCTGTTGATGGTTGTCTCTGTAAAGGGAAAATTGTGTTAATATCATTTCAATACCTTAACACATTTGTTGTAATAGGGATGCACCGATCCACTTTTTTTAAAACTTCTAATCCGATCCCGATACCTAAATCTGGATGTCGGCCGATACCAATCCTGTTCCGATATCATGATCATCATTGATTTTATATGAGGCTGTAATAATCTGCTCTCAAGTACAATTTGTACAAATATATGCATGCATGTCCAAAAAGGCAACTTGACGTAAGTTTTATTAATGTTGGATAAGTTTTAAAGTTACAATAAAATCATGCTAACACAAAACATCTTTTTTTATTCCTAGCTTTAAAGTGGATATTAAAGTGATTAGATGGCTTCAAACATCTGCTAACTTCATGTCATAAACCAACAGACATGTTCCTGTTTTTAGTATTTTACATCACTTTATAATGTAGCTGGTTTTGTTTCGTTTATATATATATACAGTATATATATATATATATATATATAT